TTCTCTCATTTACAGTCTGAAATAGATCAATCCAGCAGTATGTGTATAACACACAGCATCTGATTAAAACATGGTTTTTATATTATTGAACATGAGTTTCTGTTGTTCTAACTGATCTCTGTCTGATAAATATTCTATAAAACCCAAGTGGGACCAGGTAAGTTTTTGTATTTGCCTGTCTGGGCCCAAACAAATGTGCTTACCTTATTAAAATAGAGCCTCTATTGTACGTAGTAATAAAGACTGTAATGCTACCCTCTACTGCCTACTTGCATTTATTAAATAAAGAAAAAACCCAAGTTCTTCTTAGCTGGGGGAGAACCAAGAAAGTTAAGAGTATACTGGAGCATCAGTAGTTAGATTAGAGATATTAAGAGTTTCATCACATTATATCTTGAGAGCATCAGATTGGGGAACATTGTTTTACTAGATTCAACATTTAGTTGATTTTAAAAAGAAATATTTTGTCTATATGCACAACTACCAGGCTGTACAATTCTCAGCAAGACTGCAATATGATTTAATTCAGGCCTGTCTACATGCTATCTTAACATCATGTATGACCCTGGAGAAGTTGTATGCGATTATCAATCACATGATTTGGCTAGTCAATGGAGAGACTGCTCTCACAGCCACATTAATCATTCCATGTGGAGTGATATAACTAATTTAATTATTCAAACTACTTGACTGAACCACATGATCAGTGCTAGTATGCTTTACCGCTGTATTTTTTTTTTAGAACTGCCACATCTTATATGATACACAAATAGGTAAGAATAGTCCTCACTTAATTTAAACCAATACTGACTGTGCAAAAAAGGATACTCAGTGAGCATTTTTAATAAATAACTTCTGGTCTACTCACCAGAGCCTACCATGCAGTCCAATCATAAAGGCTCTAGGATCTGTACTGATATTGATGATTCAGCCAAATTTGAAGTCACACACAAATACCTGCCCCTTTTCTGGAATTCTGTGCTTCTAAACCCTCATGTTGCCCTTTCACAATTACAGAAAAAGCATACTTAGACAATCCACAATAAATGCAATGCTCAAGTTCCCAATTCTACCTCAACTACTTCTGCCACAGTACTAAAACCAACACCCTCTTGAAGAATAAACATGTTACTGGGAGAAGCCTGCTCCTGCACAATGATACATTCTTCCTCAGTGTCTGAAACAGCAATCTCAATGACATCCTTGTGTCGGTCAGAGCTCTCTTGTGCTCCAATGTAGTTACTGTTAGAGATGAGGACTTTTGCTTTCCTGCCAGGCTCTGCCATATTCATAGTGTGTACTACCAACACAGCAGGCTGCTCTGAAACTGCAATATCCTTGAGATCTTTGATGTCAAATTTGGATGAATCCTTGACTAGATTGTCTTTGTGCTCAAGCTGGTGGCGTTGAAGGTTCTGAGGGAGGCTGTAGCCTATACCACAAATGTTACACTGATGGGGCTTGTCACCATGATGTGCTTTCTGATGACGCCGGAGTTTTGTAGCTAGAGGATAGGATTTGGGACACAGGTGGCAGCGGAAAGGCCGCTCACCTGTGTGCAGGCGTTCATGAGCTCGTAACGTGTGGGGATCACGCAATGCTTTACCACATACTGTGCACAGATGAGCCTCACCTGTGTGGGAGATCAGGTGACGGCGCAGCTCAGGACGCTGTGGGAAGGCATCTCCACAGAAATGGCAGTGATAAGGGCGTTCCCCTGTATGTAGCCTAAGGTGCCCTCGTAGATTGCCTTGCTGACGGAATGACTTGGGACAGTAGGGACAAGTATAAGGACGTTCCCCTGTGTGCAGGCGCATATGGTTCCGCAACGATCCTGGGTTGGCCAAGTGCCGTCCACATATCACACACTGGCAGGCAGCAGGGGTAGAGCTTGGCTGTTTAACTTGATGAGTCTTGCGATGGATACGAAGGGAGGGACGCCGGGCAAATGATTTTCCACAATCTGGACAGGCATAGGGGCGCTGGCCTGTATGCAGTACCTGATGTTCTTGAAGGTCACGCTTGGTGCCATAAGTTTTGTGACACTGTGGGCAGGGAAAGGGCCTTACCCCCCTGTGGCCCAGCATATGCGCTTTGAAACTCTCTTCTGAACTATAGCTCTTGCCACATTCTGTGCACAGGAACGGTTTGTGATCAGTATGCACAAAATGATGTTTTTTCAGGTGGCAAAGCTGGAGGAATGCTTTACCACACTCTTTACACCGGTGTCGTCGTTTAGTGCTTGATTCTGTGTGAGCTGAAGCACCAGGCTTGTATCTATGCGACTGTTCCTCTTGTGTAGGATTTTTCTTTTCATTCTCTGCCCTGTCTTTGGGTGTACTTGGAAGATATCCACTGGGGATTATTTCAGCACAGGACTCTTCCCTTAATGTCTCTATATTATCAGTTAAAATGGCACTGATGCAAACTGCACTGCACGATGGTGGGTTTGAACAGGTTTCAGCCAATGTTGCATCTGACTTTATCTCATTCACCTGCTCTTCCTGAGAATACAGTATAGCATCTTCTTTGCCTCCATCATTCTTGGAAACAGGACAGCTTTTAAAAAGTTTATTATTTCCACTCTGTATTTTGGTCTCCTGTTGTTCAATTTGCAAGGAAGAATTTTTATTGCTTTTCTTGTGATTGACATCTAATCCAAGGGTCTGTTTGTTCTTCAGCTTCTTATTCAACACAGAAACACAACAGCCTCTGTCTTTCAACTCTGCAGACTTGGGAATATCAGGAATACCTGAAGAATTGAACCAGGAACTGTTAGCTCTCTTAACAAGACATCAAGTAGTTATAGCTATTTTATAGTAAAACTATTTTATTTCCATACCTTCTCACCTTCAGTCTTTGGAAATATTTCACTCAGGATAGAGACTAAAGAAATAGTCATCAATTGGCAAAGAAGTACTTTTGAGAACTACAACAACCAGGGCATTTTACTTGAATTATAAATATCCTACAGGTAGTCCTCGTTTAGTGACTGCCTTGGACAGCGACCATTCATAGTTATAAGAGTGATGAAAAAGTAACTTTGCAACCAATCCTCGCATTTACAACCTTCATAGGTCTGTAGAGCAAAGGAAAGCTGAAGTAAGATCATAAGCACAGTTATGGTTTCACTTAGTGATCACTTTGCTCAACGATTGAGTTACTGGTCCCAACTGTGGTTGGTAAATGAGGACTACCCATATTTTTAAGACTTGGAAAAACTTTGGGCTTCTATATAAAAAAAGATGTTGCGGTATTTGGTTAAATATACATTAAAGTAAGTCAGAGGATAAATCTTCTCAAAGGATTAAAATGGTTTAATATTTGCATTTCATTTCACAGTAAAACCTGTGGGAGGGTCTCTGAATAAGACAATTTTCTTTATCTTTTCCAAACAGCTGCCAAGTTTTGGAACAAGATGCAGCTGCTATAATGATATAAACCAAACACAGGTTTGTAGTATAGTTGTACAGTCAGATATTTTACATACATATTCTGCATGATAGTAAAATACTTCACGGGTTATAGCAGAACAAACTGCTGCTTGTAAGGCTGATTGACCAGTGTTACTGAACCAAATTCAGATCAATGGACAAGCATGACTTCTATTTCTACTCAGCAGGCCTATCTGCTCAGCAGTCCTAGACAAGCTACTGTATACTCTCAGACTCAGTTCCCAATCTCTGAAACTGAGATACTAAATAGAAAAACACTGTGCTTTGAAAATAGTAAAATATTAAATAATAATAAGTAGGAAAACCTATTTCCAAATAACTCTTTGTGGGTTTCAAGGGAGAGGTGTACCTCAATGCCAACCATGATGGTACCATTTGTAAAAAAATAAAAATACAGAAAATGCAAGAGCCCCCAGCTTGAAAGGTTTATAAAAGCCAAGCAGACTTTCATTTAAATATTTTCAGTAATCTTAGCTTGTTCAAAAATATGAGACAACTCAAGAAGCTATCTTGTAAAATTCTACTGGTAAAAAACCAAAATTATACACTTAGATTAGGGCTGCATAATGATTAAAAAGGGGCACGTTTTCAAACCTTCCTGTGAACAGAATGTGACAGTGAATTCCTTCAGGATCTCATGCCTTTCCATGATCAGAAATGTACAAATTCATTTCTATATTGCATTTCCTATTTGATTTGCCTGAATGATCTATGATACTCCTTTTTAAATGCTATTTCAAGGACGCCATGTACAGTACCTGCAGAGGAATCCTGGATAATATCATCTTTCTGCATCAAAGCCTCCTCTTCTAAATCTATGGTCTTGGTGGTGGCCACTACTGGCATTTTTTGCAGTTTTTTATTCTCTGTAAAAAGTTTCCTATCTGAGGTATGTGCCAGGCTATCATTTTCCAGACAAGTAGGACTGGCCTGTGATTCAGTTAACCAGCATAGCAGTTCACTGCCCACATCAATAGGACAGCAGACTCTGATGTGCAGCTCCCCGTTGATCCATTCTAACATTACATTTGCTTCATCTTCAACCCGGCTTTGCTTCACGAGGCTGTAAAACACATAGTGTTAAATATTAATTTTGGTGCAAGATGCAATATCGTCCCAGGCAAACACACAAACAAACTTAGAGCATAGCACGTATATAAATAAGTGAATGTGGTCTCAGTCTAATCTACCAAGTATCACGTTTATTAAATAATATAGTACCTGGAAATGCCCATTCACAGACTTTTTTCTGAATTTATCTGACTAGGACCATAGAAAGCCCACATGCACTGACTCCTATCCTTAGCACTCTAGCTCAACATTGTTTATTCTTACTCTCTAGGAGGTTTAGGATAAGAGCCTTTTTTTCTACATCTGGTAATATTGGGAAATGAATCTATGACTGTCTGCATGCTAATCTAATATACAATATTTTAACTCCCTTCCAGCTATTGATGATCCTGTGGATCAGTGAAGATCAATAGTGCCCATGGATTAGTGAGAAAAATAATAATCAACAATACACATACATATAAATTGAATATACACTGCCTCTTCATTAATTTAAAAAAAGGATGGATCCAGATGATGTTATTTCAGAGGAGAATAAGGACTGCACTAGGTGAGAAGGTAGCATCATGACATCATGGAAATAGGGGAGATTGGCATCTCTATCTTTTGGGAGGGGGTTGGTTTTCTTGATGAATTAAAGGAAGGTTTAGAATAATACTCTGATGTAGTATTTGATCAAAAAGCAGCTTGTGTACCTCTGTAGTTTGCTTCTAAAATTTGACAGTGTGATCTTTGGGGGCTAACAGGTATATGTAACTAGTGTGCTGCTGGTGTTGGTTCAACTTACTGTTTAAAAAATGAATTTCAATTATTTGCATAAATAAAAGATTTGGGGGCCTACCTTTCAGTTACCTTGTATTTTATTATTTTACCTTTTGATTGGTTAATTTTTCTTTTTTGTTCCTTTTTAAGCATTAAAAAAAAAAATTTCTTCTGTTTTCCTTAGTCTCATTTAGATTTTTCTAAGCACAGTTTTTTTTATACAGTAATTTTATTAAAGATTACAATTTACAACAATAAAAACTAAAACTAAAAAAAATAAAAGAATAAAAAGAAAAAATAGGTTTAAAGTTTATTAGAGAGAATTAATGGCTGAAGAGGAATCTAGTGAATAAATGGAACATAGGAACTACCCTCTCAGAGATCTGTAACAATTACATAGCTGTACAGAAATCATAAGATTTGACTTCCTATATCTATGTCTTGCATGAAGATTAGAATTTCTAGTCTGCCTTTTATAGATAATGCTTACCTTGGTAAAGACATTAGCTACTAAAGGCATTTAAGTAGGACATGAATTTTTCCTATTGATTCCAGCAGCAAATTTAAGAACACATTCCTTCCTTCACAGCTCCCTATCTGTTATAGTCTTCTTCCTAATTACCCATATCAGAGAAATTCCATTTTTTTCTTTCATTAGGGCATTTGTTTGCAATATTTATCTAGTGTGTGTGCTTTTCCCTTTAATATATTATTTTCATTTATGGAATTCCTGTGGCTGGTAATCTCTTAGCAGTTTTATCCTTTCATATTTATGTCAAATATTAAAGAACTCTTAGCTAATTAAAAAGTATAATCAGAACTGTACATGATTAAAACAATAATTAAAAATGTCACTGCATCTTCACTTTTCGTTTCCATGTATAATTGCCAGTTTGCATCATCTCAAAAGAAGGAGAGGAGGAAATATGCAACTTCTAAGATATTCAAGCATTTTATGGAAAAATGCATAGTACTTGACAGATATTTTATGGGAAAATGTTATTTTTAATAAATGTATTGCCTACTTAAACAGGAGCACCTTTTAACCTATCAAGTTAAAAAAAGTAGAACTAAATGCAGCCAATTTTTATTCGAACTGATTAATGGTTTAAACATTATCCAGACTTTCAGATAAACATTATCTCATCAAGTGAACTGGGGATTTAAAGACTCCAGTAACAAAAGTGGAAGCCACTTAGAATAAGAGTCATATTACAGCTTTTGCAACACAAGATAATCAAGACAAAGTCAGTCTACACAACCTTGCTGTATTTGTTATGTATCTATTGTAGCTGGCTGACTTTTTAATCAGGAAAAAATTCCAAGACAGCAAGACAAAAGAAGAGCTAATCAGCTTGTAATAAAGATGACAGAAATGAAGGAAATCTCTAGTTGCCATTGAAAGCTGAATTTCTACAACAGGAACAAAATATCTATTTATAATCATTTATTATTAACGTATTATGATTAAGCTTGTCTAAATGTATAAATTCTGTCACATCTGTTAATTTGTTTTAAACATTATTAAACATCCACAACAGCCAGAGATGTTTCCCAGCTATTCAAGGTATACAACAATCTTTAGAAAATTCAAAGTTAAATGCAGATCAGGACATTTGACTGAAGCTGACTCCAGGCACACATAAAAATGGACAAGCCACTGATTATTTTATGTTTAGTTCCAGGATCCAATGTGTGAGGTCACTCATATGATGGATACTAATTTGGGTATATCACCGCATTAAAGAATTTGCAGTACTTGACATTAAGGTCTGAATCACATGAGTCATATTATTTTGAACCTGATTAAAAACAAAATAAATATCAACTTAGCTTAAAAATAAATTTAAAAACAAATTGCATGAATTAATCCTAAGAGGTTCACTACTATCTGAACTGTTATACTCAACAATCTATTACATTAGATGAACATTTCTGAGAAGATTTTAAATTATCCATATGTTTCTGTTCTCACCTCCTCCAGTTGGATATCCTGTTGCAAGCAGAAGCCTTTTTCCAGCTGGGTAATGGAAATGCCTGTAACGGAGAGCAAGATGTGTGTGTGAGAGGCTCTCAGTTTTGGGACTAGCTCTTTCTTTGACCCATAGGTCAATTCACACAATCAAGCTAACATACTAATCATGAGGAATGCAGATCTATGCAGAGAGACTTTTTCTTTGCAGCTGTGAATCCATCCCTAAATCAAGAGCACCACCACTCTACTCCAAGCTGCTATTAGAACTCTTAACAAGAAAGGAAAGTACTCATAGTGCATTCAAAGCCCTCACTTCTCACTCTGGAAATGAGAACTTTGAATGCAAAATGGTGCAGTAGAAAATGGTTAACTATCCTGCCACAACACAATTTCACCCATCAATTCTGATTGTGTTTCAACTTTTAAAAGTCAGTGATCCAATAATTGATCCCACACAACATACTTTCACACAATGTACTAAGCCATGTTTAGTCATGGTTTGTTGGACAAACCATAATGGTTTGGTTCACAATTAATGCTCACCTTTTAACTACGGTTTACAAATCACCATGGTTGTATTCACATAACTAAGCCATCACATCACATTTGCCATAGTTTGGCCTTCATAACAATTACTGATTAGAGAATACAACTGTTGCAATTCAAACCATGTTCAGCAGAATTTTCTAAAATTGGTGAACTTATATTATTGTTTAATATACCATGGCTGCCTCCTAATAAACCAAAACTAAAAAATAGCATTATAGTTTCATGTAGTGTGTGAGTTCACCAACAATCAATATTTCATTTAATTGTAGGAAATGTTGTTCTGAACTAAATTTTTAAGTATGTATTTTTCAGCAGCACCAGTGACTATGTTCAAAAATTAGCCAGCAACATTTTAGCTTAATGTATCCTAGACACCCAGTCTTTATAACTAGCTTACAGTTGAGAGCATCCAGGAAATTTATTTCCCTAAACTTATTAAGTTATCCAAAGGAAGTTATACAAACACAGTCAGTGCTGACTGACAGTCTGGAATGCCAAGACTTAACAACTATGTTTAGATGATAACGCTCAGTAAATTATTTTGGGCAAGACACTCACCTTTCACTGTAACATACCTTAAATAATAGCTGGGTGGATTAAAACAAAATATGATTTGTCTTAACTATTTAGTTATATGGTGGAACATATATTAATATTCTATGCCTATTCTGTGCTAAATGTAAACTATCATTTTAATTCATAGTAATAAATGAAGCACTGCATACATGACTGAATGATAGAGTCACAATTATTTCACTGACATGTGCAATGTATTAGATAGCAAATGTTACCTTAAATCTCAATTGCAAGCAAATAACATTACCCAACCTTGTTCCAGATTTCTATAAAACAGACTATGAAGGAATTAACCAGTGCAAAACCAGATTCAAGTATGAATGGGTGCCCACAGAGAGAGAGAGTGAGTATATGTGTGTGTCTGTATCAGAGAGAGAGAGGGAGAGAAAGAGAGGTCAATTTTGCCCAGCATCTTGTTTCCCAGAATGCCCCCCCCCCAAAAGATACCTATAGGAAAACTGCAGGTAGAACATGAGGTCAAGGCTATGTCTTGACATTTCATCACAACAATATCCCATTATCTCTGAACCTGTAGACAGCATACAGTATAGCCATTATGGCTACCAGTTACTCGGGCTTTCAATTATTTTGTTTAACC